TTCTTTCTTTCTTTCTTTCTTTCTTTCTTTCTTTCTTTCTTTCTTTCTTTCTTTCTTTCTTTCTATCTCTCTATCTATATCTATCTATTCTATATCTATCTATCTATATCTATATCTTTCTATCTATTCAATATCTATCTATCTATCTATCTATCTATCTATCTATCTATCTATCTATATTTTGAAAGAGAGGGAAGATGAGAAAACCAGGTACAGATAAATGTGGCAGATTCAGCAGCAAATCTGAACTATCACAAAATAAAAATATTCTAATACATTATTCAAAATTTATAATATTGTAAGAGGCTTACTGCACACTTTCGATTCAAAATGAGATCCCATTTCAGCTAAAAATCCTTGGTTCAGCTGTTCAATTCATTAAAGTTTGTGTTGAAATGGTTTCCTTAGAATGACTTTGAACAATTATTTAGAGAATAGAAATCATCTGAATGCGTCAGTAATGGGACATTTACAATGAAGCGTGGTTAAGATCAGAGTTCTCGGCTGTTCCTCTCATCAAAAAGTTGTTTGCAAATTATCAGGTATACAAATATGTAGGGTGCCCAGCATGGAACAAATTAAACAGAAATCAGTGGTGGTAATTAATTTACAATAATGGTTTCTCTCTCTACCTTGCATTTTTAGTAGGATAGCATCTTAAAATAAGTTTATCCATTCATTCTTTCTGTTTTAGTCTATACTTACCGTAATTCTTCTCATTACTGAATCACTGGATAGTTTTCTTTTAAAACTTTAGGATTGAAATGTAATGGCTCAATTTGTTTTTGTTTTGTTTTTCCTATACTTATTTCATAAAACTATTTATAAGCACAAAATGATTGCCTGGTCACCTCCTTTGAGATGCCTCCAACTCAAAACCTGGGTTAGAAATCTCTTAATAGCACTAAATCATTAGGAATTTTCTCCAAAGAGTTCATTGCATAAGATTTTGGACTATAAAATAATAAGTGTAAGAATATGTGTATAATTATTATAAAAATTGAATAAGAATATGGATAATATTGTTTAATATGACAGGAGAATATTTAAAGAAAAACAAAATAAGCTATAATATCAAATGTGATGGTATAAAATAAGAGTAATGAATATAGAAAATGAATACGTATATGGATAATATTGTTAAATAATGTATGAGACTATTTAAAGAAAAAGGTAATAAGTAATAATATGATATAAATTTGGATATAAAAGTTGGTATGTAATTTTGGTCTGGAAATGTATGGAAATGTAAAAACCTGGAACCATATTGTTCACCTAATGAGATGTTTTATAAAAGATAAAAAGTAAAAAAAATATTTAAAAAAACAATAAGTTTTGTTCTTTGTGTGTGAGTGTGGGTATGCATGTATTTGATGCATTTCAATTACAATAATCGCTTTTACAAATTGTTTTCGCATGTTGCAGAAGGGCTAAAAAATCAGCACCATGTTGGTTCAGAAGACACTAACCAGAAAACCATGCTAACACTTATGAAAAGTCAGTTTTTGTTAGAAGGAGGTCATTCACTTGTCCTTGGTGCTCTGAACACGGTACAGTTAATTTTTGTTACATCTGTTTTATTGTAGTCACTTTGTATTTAATAGGTAACTCTTTTCAATATTACAAGCTGGTTATAACAGCTAAATAAGGTCTGAGTTGCATTGTCTTCATAGAAGTAAATCAGTCTATGAAATCCTTTTAACAACCCGATAATCCCTTGTGGGTGGAGTCTGGGCAACTGAATGGAGCTGAATGTTTACTGGCTGGATGCCTTTCCTGTCGCCAATGTGGAGTTTTGTTTTCCACTTATAAGTGTGAGAAACAGTCATGGGTTACCTTTTTCAGTGCTGTTGCAACTTTGAAAGATCACTAAATGAACTGTAGTTAAGTCGAAGATTGCTGGTATTTTCATCAAGGGTCGATAAATTGAAGATTTATATAATCAAATATAACCATCTGCTTTTGGGTTTTTTTTTCCTTCTAGTTTATTGGAAATCCAGGCATTCAGAAATGTGGACTTCAAATACTCTCCACTATAACAGAACGTCCGACTTTATTACAAATGTTATCCAATCTAGGAATGGCAGATACTCTACTCCACACACTACAGATGTATCCAGATGATCAAGGCAAGCAGAAAAACCATTTATTTTGAAACTGAGAATGTCCGGTCATCAAATCAAAAGCGTTGTCAACCTGGAGAATGTGCAGATGTATGAGCCGAATTCCCAGGATTTTCTGTCATTGTTTTGAGATGCGTATGATGGGTAGACATATTTTAGAAGGTTGATCCAGAACAGGGGTTCCCAACCAGGGGTACAAGATGGTATTCCAAGGGCGTGAAAATCTGGGTTTAGAAGTTTCAAAATTATAGTGTACACTCTGTTTCCCCAAGAATATGACCTATCCTGAAAGTAAGGCCTAGCTTGATTTTTACATGTGCGCCCAATATAAGTCCTACTGTGATGACCCAGGGTGGGATACAAAAGCAACAAAGTCACAAAAACAGGTGAAGTCCCTTTAATTCCTTCAACTTGGCTTCAAAGCTCCAATTATCATTGACTGGAGAACTCAGATAAGAACTGAAAGACTAGAATTAGTTCACACTTTGCTTCCAGCACTGGCCCATGCGCAGTTTGTCCTTTTAAACAATCCTCACAGCTGCAGCCCATGAAGGGGATCAGGGCCCTTTCCTCTCCCGTGGACCATGCCATTCACATTTCTCCCTTATCCACTCCTCCCTGCGTGCCTTAGGATGAAGAGGGGATGGGCCTGGGTCTTCCTCTGGATGCTCAGCCAGCCTGTGCCCTTCCCCAGTTTCTTCCACAACCTTTAGAGCCACATTTCCACTCCCTGTCGGCTGTTCCTCCTCTCCCTTGGAATCAGACTTGGAGTCAATAGGGGCATGACACCTACCCCGCCCCCAAATAAGCCCTAATTAAGATCCTGACAACTTGAGTGCACAGGTAAAAATTAGGGTGGGGGGGTGGAGCTGCCCTACTACTTACCTTTGGACAGTTGTAGCCAGGCCTCGCATATCCTGACACCTGCCTTGCTGGCCCATTTCTTCTGGAGCTGGCAAGGCTTTCCTGAAGGCCTCTGTAACTGAGAACAAAGCTCTGGATCGATCTGTTATCGGCTGCAGAGGCCTTCAGGAGAAGCCTTGCTGGCCGCAGGAGAAGAAGTTATCAATGGCAGTGATTCACTTAACAATGGGGCAAAACTCACTTAACAAATGTCTCGCTTAACAACAAAAATTTTGGCCTCCATTGTGGTCATAAATTGAGGACTATCTGTACCGCTATTGCTATTGTGTGCTTGATAAGTACTTCCATTGTAATATTCCCAATTTTCTTTTCTTTCTAGAAATACAACGCTTAGGTTTAAACTTTCTGGGATCCTTGGTATCCAAAAAGATCTTATGTTCAGCTACTTTCTATGCCTTGGTATCTCCTTTGGTCTCGACGTTACGACGCTTTAAGGATGTTGTCGAAATTCAGATTCAGGTAACAAATGAAACATCAATTTGGGCAGGAAGATTCTTGCGGAAATTCAGATGTTTGGTATTTTTTTCCCCTCTTTGAGTTGAACCAAGAGCAACCAAGATGATCAGGGGACTGGAAGGTAAAACAGAAAGAACAGATGCTGGAATTGGGTATGTCTAGGCTAATGAAAAGAAGGACTCGGGGAGACATGATAGTGATATTCCAGTATCTGAGGGGCTGCCACAGAGAAGAGGGAGTCAAGCTATTCTCCAAAGCACCAGAAGGCAGAAGAAGAAACCATGGGTGGAAACTAATCAAGGAGAGAAGCAACCTAGAACTAAGGAGAAATTTCCTGACAGTGGGAATAATTAACCAGTGGAATTCTTCTTGCCTCCAGAAGTTGTGAATACTCCAACACTGGAAGTTTTGAAGAAGAGATTGGACAACCATCTGTCTAAAGTGGTATAGGGCTTCGTGCCTGACCATGGGGTTGGACTAGAAGACCTCTAACCTTTCCAACTTTGTTATTGCATTGCATTGCATTGCATTGCATTGCGTTCTGTTCTGTTCTACTCTTCTCTACTCTACTCTACTCTACTCTACTCTACTCTACTCTACTCTACTCTACT